TGAGAATAAAATAGAACTTTCTAAGGAACTAAAACTGCAAACTCGGGTTGTTTCCAAAAGATTGTTACAGCAGCGAAAGTGCTGAAAGGAAAGTTCACTCCCCTTCCTTACGGAGTAAGCAAATGAGCACAGAAAAACCTGCTTCTTTAAGGTAAAAACAAGCTCTTTGTTATAAGTGGGAAGGAGAGGACTAAAAAAAATCTTTAAAAATTTGTTGGAGGAGACGCCTCGAAGATTATAAGATCAGCAACCAACTATAATATGGCTTTAAAATATATTTGGGATTTTGCCCCAGGAGGAAAAATTGCAAAGAGAAGAAGAGGAAATAATGTCTGTCTGTTTGGATTGTTTGATAACTTTGACATTTGGAAATTACTTTAAGATTAAAAACATCTGGGTTGTTCTTAAAAATTGACAATGGCACTATCTGTGAATGAATTAAAAATGGAATATGAAAAATTAAAAGAAAGACAACAAAAAGGCAAGGATTCTTTGGGAGCTGTCTTCCACTTTTTAGAAATGGCGGTTTCTACATACCAGCAAATACTTGAGGAAGAAGAAGAAGAAAAGGAAGAAGCCATTTTTAATGGACAAAAAAGTTCAATTAAGAAAGAAAATAGGAAGAGAGGAAGGAAAAATGAGAATTTAAGATTCAATAAAGCAACCAAGAAAAAGAAAAATAAGGTGAAAAAAAGGTACAATGTTAGAAAGCAACTGAAAAGAGAAATACAACAGAGAGGGGAAGTTAAAAAGGTGGAGGTTAGGAGAGGGGGGGGCAAAAAGACCAGACTGGAGAAGAAAGGGAGGGAAAAAGGGGAAAAAAGCCACGGTTTGAAACAAGATGCCAAAAAGCAGATTTTTTTTAGAGATAAAGGATAAAGGATAGTGTATAATTAAGGAAAGATTCTGCAAGAGTACATAAGATAGTATTGTAGTATTTGCATTTGAAATAGTTTACTGGAATATTATAAGATTTAACAAAATATTAAAATGTTTAATAATGATAGATCTCAATATTTAATAAAATATTAAAGAGAATGTGTAAAATGATTAATGTTTAGTTATAGTTTAATTTGTTATTGTCTTAATGTTATTATAAATTTATTATTTCATTTTCTTATTTTAAAATAATGTATTAATTAGAATTAGAACTAGAATGGAAATTATATACTTAACTATATTATAAATTTATTATTCTTTTATTTTAAAAGGCAACATGTAGAATGTACTAAGCAGAATCAGGATGGAAATTATGTACTATTTTAAGTGTTACTTTAGGGGAAAGATAGAAAGGCGTCACACTTTAAAAGTGATTACAGGGGAATTTTTTTTTTGTTAAAGAGAAGAGATAAATAGACAATTGGAAAAGAACGGACAAAGGATACAAGCATAATGATTTTAAAATAAGATGAAATAAACAAAATATAATTAAGAGAGTGAAAAGAAGGGAGAAGTTATATAGAAAATATAGAATGGTTAATAAGATATGAATGGTATATAAGGTGAGCATGAATCTGATTTAGGTCTGTAAAAAAAGATGTAACCCGGGGCTAAGCCACTTTTCAAAAGAAGTTTTATGTTTTGGTTAGCTATGTTTGATTGAGAATTAATAAAACCTTGGAGGGATAAAATTAAAGGGAGAGAAAAGACATGTACAAATGATAACTAAGGAGGTTTTATCTTTTTATGTCTTGTTTTATGTTTTGTATTTTGTGTGTTTATGTTTGATTGAGAATTAATAAAACCTTGATAGAAAGAAATATAATTGAATAAAAGTGAAGGGAGAAATAATTAGAAATTTGGAAAAGATATATAGGTGTTTAAATGGAAATGTGATCATTTGGAACTATGTTGTATAAATGTTTATATTCGATTGAGAATCAATAAAACTTTGATAGAAAGAAATATAATTGAATAAAAGTGAAGGGAGAAATAATGAGAAATTTGGAAAAGATATATATGTGCTTAAATGGAAATGTGATAATGTGGAACTATGCCTTAAAAAATAATGTTTTATTTGCCTTGTTAAAACTTATAAGTAATTTTTAGAAAGGAGGTTTTATGCTTTTATGTCCTATGTTTTTGTTTGTCTTCAAAAAATCAATAAAGTTTTTTTTAAAAAAAAAAAAACACAATCTTTGGACTCCAGCCTTAATATGTCTCAATGCCTGCGGAAAAATCCAGCTTTTGGAAAACTAGAAGAATGGGTGCCTTCCAGATCTTAGAGAGGTGGAGGGTGTTCCACAGGGTGTGGGACTAATGTGCCATTACTGAGTAGTTACATATCCTACGTTTGTATTATGGTGTCAATTTTGAGTTTGCTTTATTTTTTTTAATAAAGGTTGTAATTCATTGCTTTAGATGTTTAATTTTTAATAATGCAGAAACTGTTTACGGTCTTTCTCTTTATGACATAGAAACTGACATAAAAGTTACAATGTTAAGATTACATTTCATTTGCTCCCAATATGCTTGCATACGAAAAATTATACAAATTTCTGTGCTTAAACTTTTCCGTATATTTTTATGAATTATACCATAATGTTTTATACTAAGGAAGTTGATAGTAAATCCCTTTCTATTAATTTTGTTTTTGCAAAGACTTGAAACTACAAAAGATGATTACCGTGTTCATTGTGAAGAGCTTGAGAAACAACTGATTGAGCTGCAACATCGAAATGATGAACTGACGTCTCTGGCAGAAGAGTCCCGGGCTCTGAAGGATGAAATTGATGTTCTTAGGTATACAGAATAAATCCAGTCCACTATGTTACTATCCTGTTTAATATGCAGTATTCTATCATCTTGGAGTTTTCAAAGAATATACCAAACTCTTTCAGCTGCTGCCCTTCCCCCACATTTTTTTATTAATTTCCTGTCTTTCCTGAGAGAGAGTGTCTGGCCCAAGTCATCCAGCCACTTTTCATGCCTAATGCAGGACTAGAACTCATAATCTCCTGGCTTTTAGTCTGGTGCCTTAACCACTAAACCAAAGTAAGACATTGTATATTGTTTCCCTTTGAAGCTACACCTGTTTTTAATAGTTTAATTGAGAGGATTATTCACAAACACTATTGTCATTTACTTACATCTATATCATTGGTGCAATAAGGTCATTACAGAAGCGGCATAAATTACAGGAGAAAATGGTGTAGTGTGTTTTATAGTACTGACATCTGCAAAATTGAAGACTCACTGTATTGTCCATCTCAAAGCCTTCCAGATACTCTCATCTCAGGATTCACTGTTACTCGGGGCACAGTAGATGTGAATTCTAAGGGAGACAGACTAACATGTTTGGGACTCAACTCAGTGAAGTATGGAAGAGCTTTCATTATGATATAGTACAATAACTTCCTTCCTTTTTTGCAACATTCAGAACATCCAAGATTCTGCCACTGAAATTTGGCAGCAAGCTATTAAATTCTCACAGTCTTTGTCGTGTGTTTACTATTCAATTTTTTCCTAGGTATTTGGTTCTATTTCCTAAATAATACAGCAACTAAAATAAGCCTTGTGCTTCCAATACTTAAAGTTTTTATTTTATATTCTCGATAGACTTTGTTTCTTGTAGATTCTTACATGTAATACTTTAAATTGTTCTCGAGTAACAAATATTTAATATGGAAATTGCAAATTACTTTTATATGCATGTCTTATAACTGGTACCTTATGTAGCATAAAATAATACACCAGATTGTCATTCAATCTCTAACTAAGATACTAATTTTGAATTAAGTATTGAAGGAATCTTTTAACTCTGCTAAACAAACCTCCTAATTTTCAGTTGGGTATTGCAGCATTTTAGCTTTCATAGTATTTCTGTATTCACTAATAATAGCCTCTTGAAATGTATAAAACCTCTCTTGGGGAGCCTGTGACTATTTTCTTCCTTCAATATAGAAGAGCTTTGATTCAAAAGGAAAGCCTACCCTGAAGTGGCATGGATCATTGCCTAGTAAAAGGAGGAAGTCATTCATGACTGCAGTTGATGCTCCAGTTTTAATTATGTAGAACTGAAAAGTCTTATTTTCTTATTAGTTTATCATGCTGGCAATTTGAACCCAAGAGAAAATATTTTATAAATAAGATCTTACTTTTCACTTAAGTATTTGCATTTTGTTTTCTGATGGCTCAATTATGCTTTTGAAATAACTGAATATGTTATTGTAGGACTGTTGCTGATAAAACAAATAAATTGGAGTCGACGGTTGAGGTGTATCGCAAAAAGTTGGAAGACTTGAATGACTTTCGGAGACAGGTGAAAATACTTCAGGAAACAAACATGATGTATATGCATAACACAGTTAGCCTAGAAGAAGAATTAAAGAAAGCAAATGCAGCTCGTACACAGTTGGAAACTTACAAAAGGCAGGTAAGAAATGTTTCCTTTCATCTTGTTTGAATTTATGTGTTTTTTTCGTACTATTTCAGTCGAATAAAAGTCTTCACTTTTAGGTCTAAAAAAGCTGAGGATGAAAAGTGATTTCCTCCTTATGTTGTCCTTGCAAGTATTTTTATTGTTTATATCAACAGTACTTCACTCATATTCATTTTATTCGAATAAGGTAACCTTATTGTAGATTTAGCATTACCAGTAATACTTATGTGTCTTCAACTGTGCAGTTAGTTGTATTAAGCATACAATCATGAAAACTAGTGCCATAATTCTACAAGACCTATGTTCTATTAATTGAATCTGTTAACCTAAATTTCTAAGCATTAAATGATGTATGCTAAGATGAAATGCTTCAGAAGAACAATTAACTACAGGGATTCTTTGATTTATAACCACAATTGAGCCCAAAATTCATGTTGATAAGCAGTGATATTTGTTAAGTGAGTTTTGCCCCATTTTAGGACCTTTTCTTGTCACAGTTGTTAAGTGAATCACTGCCGTTGTTAAGTTAGGATAAATAGTTAAGTGAATCTGGCTTCCCCATTGATTTTGCTTGTCAGAAGGTCACAAAAAGTGATGACGTGACCTTGGGACACAGCAACGGTCATAAATATGAACCAATTGTCAAGCATCCAAACTCTGATAATGTGACCATGAGGATGCTGCAATGGTTGTAAAGTGTAAAAAATGGCCATAAGTCACTCTTTTCAATGCTATAGTAACATCGAATGGTCACTAAATGAACTGTTTAAAGTCAAAGACTAATATATTCCATTTAACTGGGGAAAAATTGATTTCCAGCTAATGCTGAAAAGATTACAGGTTCTCATGAAGATAATGAAATCCTGATTGTAACACTATTTCTGCTCCAGTATTACGGAAGAAGTTATTTCAGATTACCAAGTTCTAAAACCTTTATTGGTTTTCTTTTTAAACCAGATCCAGGAACTTCATAACAAGCTCTCTGAAGAATCCAAAAGAGCAGATGCACTAGCTTTTGAAATGAAACAATTGGAAGAGAAGCATGAAACATTAATTAAAGAGAAAGAGGTGAGGTTTCAACTAATGCGGAAATACAGTTTTCGAAATATTGGGAAGTCAAGATATCTATGTGGATTGGGAAGACGAAGTGGGTTACTTAGAATGTTGAGTCTCAAAAAATTTGCAATGTAATGATAAATTGTTTTAGACCAGGGGTGTTAACTCGATCGTGTCGCAGACCACATCATGACGTATCACAAAGTGTTTTTTGCCTTTGTGGAGCTGGGGTGGGTATATGCTCCGTGGGCTGTATCCAACCCGCAGTCCTCCAGTTTGACGGGCCTGTTTTTAAGCCATCATAGAAGATGTTACCATACATTATGAAAACTGCTTTATTCTTTTTGAGAATGATGTTCTATATTCTATAACAGAATCATGTTATGTTATTAAGAGTTATTCTGGGATATCATTTTCACGTGGAGAAGCAATTAAAGCTCTCATACAATATTAAGAGCCAAGTATTTTGATATGCATCTACCATTATCAAATGACTTTTTATTTTCAGAGATTAATAATTCAACGTGATGCATTGAAAGAGACCAATGAAGAGCTCAGGTATTCACAAATGCAGCAGGATCATCTGAATCAAACAGGTACTCAAAAAAAAATATTTAGGATCATTTTTGCTTTGACTCCATGGAAAGTAGTCTCATGATCTTGCTTTATGCCCTCAGGTGTATCTACTATGAAAAGCCATGAAAATCTTGCTGCTGAAATTCTGCCTGTGGAATTTAGGTAAGAGACGTAAACACATGTAAAATGAAGTATGAATCTTATTTATAATGCGATAGAATATCAGACAATATAGAAATCCCATATTCTTATAAAGCCCTAAATATTGGAAAGGGGGATTTCTAATTTGAATCAATTTAGAAAACATCTGTACTCTCAATTAAAAAGAAAGTAATCAATACAAGAAATACAGCGATAACTCTGTATGTCTGGTTAAAAACGAGACTGGATTTTTACAAATTTCATTATATAGCTTTATAGTGTTAAGTCTTTCCTGGTAAGAGCCTTTCCAGAGGATCAGACATGTATCAGCAAAGGAATAAGTTGATACTGGGGATTTACTAATTTATGGAAGAATAAAGCCAGATTCAATTTCTTTACCATCACTATTTCAGACAATGCGGTTAGAGGCTGCTTTTGAGGAAGAAGTCTGTAATCTATGTGCATGTCTATCTGCTATTTTTAAGAGGTTTTCTTGGGCCTTTCTGCTGAAATGAAATTAACACATGACTAGGTCTGCAAACAGATTTTTGTGCATAATATCACATCAACTGCCAATTTTATTGTAATATACAGTAAGCCCTGTTTTATAATGTTGGAGGAAAATGCAGTATTTTGTCTGCTTACAAATTTTATTTTAAATCTCAGAGAAATGTTCATTCGGCTTCAACATGAAAACAAGATGCTTCATTTGCAACAAGAAGGATCAGAAAATGAACAAATTGCAGGGCTTCAAGAGAAGCTGGAACAAAAAAATCGGATGATAAATGAATTAGAAACTGAAAACAGGTGATTCTCCATATAACATTGATTTAATACTATTTTTAATAAATACAAAAAACTTGTGAGAGACACAGAAAACATACTGAATGATAGAAAGCACATGAAAGACTGATTGGCTCCACACTGATGGGTGCAAATGGACTGAAAGTGGCCTTTCCTACTCAGTCTACTCCTAGAGTTGCTTATAAATATTAAACAGGGGACCCTGTCTAAATGAAGTAGATTGTGATTCACTGGGAAAGAGAGATCCTTAAAACGTAGGGCCAGACAGTTTCTTTGAGTGGAACTCTACTGTCAGCTGCACTTTCCTCTGATTTCCTTTCAGTTCCCGTATGACAAAGTACAGATGTTCATCACTTACTGACCATTCATTCAGCAACCATTCGAAGTTGTGATAGCACTGAGCGAGTTGTGCTTACAACTAGTTCCAACTATTTATTTTATTTATTTTATTTATTTGATTTGCCAATTGTTTACAAGATAATAAGTATAAGTGTATACATAGTTGTGAATACATGAAATGGGTACATAGAAGAAAAATAAAAGAAGAATAAGAGAAACAATAGGACAGGGACGGTAGGCACGTTGGTGCGCTTATGCACGCCCCCTACAGACCTCTTAGGAAAGGGGTGAGGTCAATAGTAGACAGTCTAAGGTTAAAGTTTTTGGGGTTTGGGGAAGAAACTACAGAGTCGGGTAGAGTATTCCAGACATTGACCACTCTATTGCTGAAGTCGTATTTCCTGCAATCAAGTTTGGTGCGGTTAACTTTGAGTTTGTATCTATTGTGTGCTCTTGTGTTGTTATGGTTGAAGCTGAAGTATTCATTGACAGGTAGGACATTGCAATGTATGATTTTATATACCATGCTTAAATCAGACCGAAGACGGCGTAACTCAAGTTCTAGAATTTCAAGTCTGGTGGCATAAGGTATTCTACAACGAGTAGAGGAGTGGAGAACTCTTCTTGTGAAATATTTCTGGACTTTCTCAATTGTGCTAATATCAGATACGTAATGTGGGTTCCAGACTGATGAACTGTATTCGAGTATTGTCTAGCAAATGTTTTGTATGCTCTGGTTAGTAGTGTGATATTACCAGAGAAAAAGCTACATAGGATTAGGTTAACAACTCTTAATGCCTTTTTGGCTATGTTTAATTGTTTTATATTTTGTTCAAACTTTCAAATTAAAACATTCTATGGTCTATTATGGTGACATTTCCTCATCTCTTTATTTCTTCCTCAAGCTTGTCTTTCAGATGTGTAGGAGGTAAAACTCTGATGGAGAAATAATGTTAGGCAAAGCCATCCAAGTCATCCTTCAAATAAAATGTTTGTCCAATGTCAGTTAGGAGTTGGTCCCCTGGATGGATTGAATTTGTTAATATATTCCAGTCAGGCTTCAAGGAAACATTTGCTATATTTTATAAAAGGATTTTATATGTTGTTTATAATTGGTATTATTAGATACTTCAATCCATTTATAGTAACAATGTAAATTCATGAACTAAAATGTGTAAATAAAATAGAATTCAATAAAAAAGAAGCAACATAGCTATGTACGCACTCGCAGGTGGAGGTAGATGCAACTTGTGAAAGCAGCATTGTGAGCCTCAAAAATCACATAATTATTCCAATTATCAGAAAATAGGTGCTTTATTTGTGTTCCGTTATATTATGAAACATTATATTGAATCCTTTTCTATGGTAGTGTAATCTAAGGCATGAATGGACAATTAACTGCTCTGGAGGATCAAACAGGCCTGTGAAAATCCACTGCCCATATGTAAATTGGGAAAAAAATAGTAACTGCCTTCAAAATAAAAACAATGCATACATGGCTTAGAGGGATCAGTCTACCAGGCCTTTAATGGCTATGATAGGAGGGATCAGTCTACTGCCCTTCTGGCAGGAGAGCCCAATCTACCCACTTTCTGAAGTGCGAGAGGGGCCAATGCATCTTCCCCCTCGTTGGTACTTTTGGCAGTAAAGTCCTATTTAATTCCCACCAACCTCACCCAAGCTGAACCTGATCTAGAGGTTTCAGATGCATTATCAACAGATGTCATGGTTATTATTTGAACCCATAGCCTCAAAAGAATCCAGCAACCTAATCTATAGGAAAAACAAAAACCCATGCACAATCTGATACTTCTATGTTTATTGTTCTTATCTGGGATCTTTCCCAAGGATATAAAGAAGTTTAAGCAGAATGATACATACAGCATGTTTGGTCTAGGAATATTCTGAATCACATGCAAGCAGTATCAAATAATCTAAACTATGTTTATTTATATTTTTAACATCAGCATTATAGCCTATGTAAATATTGTATGTATCGATAAGAAAATCCATTACCTTTATTCTCCAGCTTTCACCAGCATCTATTTTAATACGGCTTAGCCAAGTTTTGTCAAACCAGGCAGGATCGCTGAAATAAAATCAGTCTCTATTAATTTTTTTTTGGTGGTGAAACTGAATTTCACCGGTCAGTTTCAATCTTGTTTTTCTGCATTAATCAGTAAATAATGAGGTCTTATGTGGAAAGCAAATTTGACTATATCTAGTGATATAGTGCTTTGCGGTTTAGGGGAGGTTTCTGAAAACGGAAAGGTGACAAGCACGTGGCTTTCTACTATATGCACCCCAGAATAGCTATGAAGTGACAAGAACCTTGAAGAGTACTAAAGCAGTATCTTTTCTTCCAACTTGCAATTTAAATTTAACTGCAAGTAAAATCCCCTATTTTCCTCTATAGCAAGGAATGTTTCTCCCTGGGAATTTAGCTAATCAGCCACACCCTTCTTCAGTTCTATAAACTTTATAGAGTCTCTAGAAGCTAATTCTATTTTTTACTCAACAGACATCCAATATTTATGGTATTGTAAAGTTGATAACTATGTACAGTTTTTAATGGATAGAATAATAGTCTTCAGGGTTTTCCATATGTTTTAAATATTGTTTTGTACTTCTACAAGTGATCTGAGCATGCTCTTATCTCCTCCATCTTCCCAGTCTCTTACGGTGGCCCAATTTCTGCAACTGTCACTTTCTCCCTATTTGTTTTCCCATATAGTAATATGGTAACGTATGATATTTTCAATAAGGTAATGCATGATATTAATTTAAGAATTCTTTTTAATAATTAACAGCCTCTCCGAAATTTATTTTCATTTAACTGAGTCCATGCTTTAATATAATTCAGATCATTTAAAATGATTCAGAGTTGTCAAACTTTGCAACACACAAAGCCCTTAAAAGTGTTAAATGCATGTGTGCATCCCCCACGAGTAAAATTAAATAAGCAATTATGATTGGCAGATGGTTCACTTCTAGCTATCTAATGTGTTTTGTTCAAGATTTAGCTCCCTGTTTGGCCTGAAAAGCTCACTTCCAGCTTGCCCACCCAGTATGCCTATCTAATACCTCTACTTCATGAGATGCACTAGTTGTCAGACTGTTTCTGGGTACATGTCAAGGTATTGGCTGTTACTGATACTTGGCATTTAGCAAAGTTACCTGATGGACTGCTTGTCTCCCATAGTATCGAGCTGACTGATTCAGCACTGGTACTTCTAATTCCTTTGACTAAACAATATCATCTATTGGGAAGAAGTGCACCTTTTCTGTAGCATCATCTACCCTCTGGAATGAGGTATTCTCCTTATTTTGCTGTTCATTAGAAAAGCAGTGAAGGCCTGACTCTTCAATGACACCTTTGATGAGGGGATTGAGATTCCCTGCTTCATTCTATCTGCTCTGTCATTCTTGTCACTTTTTTCCTTCTTTTTAATTGTACTGAAATTTCACTGTTGTGAGTCACCCAGAGTCAATGGGAATCAGGTGGCATGCATGTTCAGTAATGAAAAATAATAATAACTTACATTTCATGAAGAACATATGCCAGTGCTACACCATTTGTTAAGTCCTGTACTTCTCTGCAGGATTTAGCAATATGAAATGTCTGCAACTAGAGGAAAAGAAATCACAAAGTGATTAAGATAGCAAATAAATAAAAAATAATGTCACCATTATACATAAAAGTAGTCCATCATACTGTGAGTCTGAAGTAGGCTAGCTGAGTGGTCAATTGCCGAATTATATGTAGAATGAATCTTTTCTCAATCAAATTAATAGTCTCAATCCATTTTAATAGTACTCGTGCAAACATTTCATCTGTACGGATACTAATCAATCAATCAATCAGAATAGAACTAGAAGAGATCTTGGAGGTCTTCTAGTCCAACCCTCTGCTCAGGCAGGAACCTACACCATTTTAGACAAATGGCTGTCCAATCTCTTCTTAAAAACCTCCAGTGATGGAGCACCCACAACTTCTGGTGACAAGCTGTTGCAATGGTTAATTGTCCTCACTGTTAGGAAGTTTCTCCTTATTTCTAAGCTGCTTCTGTCCTTGATTAGTCTCCATCCATTGCTTCTTGTTCTGCCTTCAGGTGCTTTGAAGAATAGGTGGCAGCCCCTCCAATATTGGAAGTTTGCTATCATGTCACTCCCTAGTCTTTTTTTCCCATTCCTTTTCAAGTTAAGGACTACCTACAATTTCATTCCCTTTTTTCGTTGGAATAGGATCAAGTGGATTTTTGCTATCACAGAACCAGAGAGTGGATTGCAAATGGACAAAATCTGTTGACGCTTTATTCGTCCATGCTATTCTCTGGCAGCCTTGATTGCTTTGTGAGTGATTGATATGGGTACTAAACTTTGCTTAGGTTTTGAGTAGATTTATGAAAAAGAATCTTGGGCATTTGTGAGACCATAGATTTTATAGATGTTAAATGTTTCATTTATAGACTGACAGATAAGGCATAAGTCACGTAATTAGATATTATGCTCCAAATCAAAAAATAATTTTGATTAAGCTGGAATGAAAGGCTATACTTCTGCCGAGTGATTTTTTTTGTAAGAGTAATTTTTTTATTATTAAAAATATTTCTGACAACAGTTGAATATCTGAAAGTATTAGGTGGAATTCAATGTTCCACAAAAGGA